ATGGGGCTGCTCGACGAAGATTTCGGCGTCCACAGGCGCGTACAGGAAGGCGTTGGCGACATCGATCTGGCGTAGTGGTAACTTTTTCGTGGCCGCGACGGCGAGCAAGATGCGTAGGGAGGTGTGTCGGGAGACTGGGGCGAATGTCTCCGTGTAGTCGGTTCCATATCGCTGGTCGAATCCTCGTACGACCCAGCGAGCTTTGAAGCGGTCGATGGAGCCATCCGCATTGATCTTGATGCGCTACACCCATTTCCCCGAGAGTACGTTCTTCCCGTTGATGTTTGTTGCGGGTACCAGCTTCCACATGTTTCGGTCTTGCAGAGCTTTCAATTGTTTTTCCATTGCCTCCTTCCATTTCGCCTTATGTTCCCCCCCCAGAGCCTGCGACAGATTCGTTGGCTCGCGCGGAGACGGCGGCGGCGGGTGCTGGACGAAGACCCATAATCCAAGTATCTGCAGGCCCGTGGGTGAGTGTCGAGGGGAAATTTCATTCGCGGGATAAGCTGCTTCGTCGCCATCTTCGGGATCAGGTAAGAAATTTGGTCCGATGCGTTCTAAGACATTCGTGTCGGCTGGTTGAGGTGTAACGTAACCTTGGTCAGCGAAGTGGTAATAGGTGTCAAGGTTGTTACTATCGAGAGGATTGTCGTCGTTGAGGGGAACAGGCACGGAGCAGTAAGGGAGTGGTCTGGCAGTTTCCGAGGCTTCAGGTACGTCTTCTTCTGCTGCTTCGGCTTCGGCAGCACGATCGGCGAAGGAGCGAAGGCGCGCAAAGCTGTCGGTGGGGTCGTCTGTGTTGGCGACGTTGTCCAGGTAATGCTGCAGCGTCAGTCTCTCGTAGAAGATCACATCACGTGATGCCATGATATTTTTGTCTTGTATGTCGAGGAGTTTCCATGCTTGGAAATGTTTTGCGATGCCGAGGTGTAGTCCCCACCGTGCTCGTTGAGTGAAGCGTCCTGCAAGAGCTGTGTGGGGTCTGTACTGTACCATGCAGCCGAAAACTCGAAGTAATTTTGTGCTGCCCCTTTTTCGTGTCCACAGCAGGTGCGGCGATGCGTTGTTGGGAAGTGATGACGAGGACAGCAAATTGTGCAGGTGGACTGCATGGGTCATCGCGTCTGGCCACAGTGTGTTGGGCAATCTCATCCCCAGGAGCAGCTTTCGCATCGTCGTCTGCAAGGTCCGGTTCATCCTCTCTGCGACCCCCTGCTGTTGGTGAGCGTAGGGCAGGGACACCAAGCGTCTGATGCCTCGTTCTCCCAAGTAGTTCCTGAATCGTTGTGACCGGTATTCCAGTGCCCCCTCTGACTGGAAGCTCTTGAGTTTCGAGCCCGATTCTCGTTCAGCGATGGGCAGCCATGCCGTGAAGGCTTCGAACGCTTGATCTCATGTCTTGAGGTTGTAATGCCAGACGTATCGTGTTGCTGCGTTGATGAACGTTATAACGTAGTTGTATTCTGCTTCACTGTCCTCCCGTGGCATATTTAAGATGTCGTTGTAGACCTTTTCCATCGGTTCGTATGCAGGTGCGCTTGGATTGTGGTGGGATGTAAAAGGTTGGTGAGGAAGATCGGCTTCGGGGCACGTGAAGCATCGTGCGCGTGGTCGTCGAAGTTCTTGGCTGCTCGTTGTAAGAAGAGCGTTTCGTTCTAACACTTCGGCTTGGATGGTTTGAAATACTGTGCTGTTTGCAGGATGCTCGAGGCGTTGGTGCCAGATGTCATCGGGAGCGCGATGGTTGGGCGAGCGTTGGTACATGTCGGCGTTGGAGAAGAACGCGACGGCCGTGGCGGGACTTCGGCAGACTTCTCATGTGATGGGCATAAGTTGATCTGCTTCGGTTGGCGGTCCTCAGATTGCTGGTGATGGTGCTCGGCTAGGTCCTGCTGCTGCTACTGCAGGTGATGTCGGGGAAGGTACGCTTGCTGGTACTTGTCTTTCTTGTCGAATGACAGCTAACGCTCGTGTCCTCTCTGCTGCAGGTATGGTGTTGGAGTACCAGAATCCGTCTGGGGTGAAGTCGGGGTCAAGATCCGGCGGGTGTGTCCAGGCGGCGAACGACACGATGCCATCGCTGTCGGCAGTACCGCGGTCGGGGACGAAATCCAATACGAAGACACCTGACTTCAGGAGAGCAGGACCGATGAAGAGACTGCCCTTCCCGTGGTAAAGACGGAATTCGTTGGCGTCGGAGTCGCTGTTATACTCACAATAGGCTTAGATGTGCCTATAATGAGAGATAGAGAGCACAGTCGGATTTCCGTCAGACGGCTTCAAATATTGATAATGATCTGGTCTCTGAATCAAACGGTGATCTGTAAGTTGGATCTGGAGCGCGTTGTTGTCGCCTATCAGCAGCAAGTTGAATCATAAAAATCCATGAAGATTTGACGACGCTATGGCGGTTTGACTGGCAGGAGGTACAGTAGCCACTATAGTCTTAGGAGTACAAACTTTGCAAGAAGAGTTAGAGAGGGAGATGGTTCCCAGCCTCTACATACCCCAAGAGCCGAGGTCCAGGTTGGTGGTACACCACCACAGAGTCCCCAACCATGAAGAGTCTCGAAACCAACCCTCCAAGGGGCTACACCAAGTGAAATGTAACACTACACGAAGTAACGTTACTATTTTCACTATTTAATATTTATCCGCGTCCCTTGGGCTTGAAATCTTGAGCTCTTGTTCTTGGATCTGCAAGATAAATTCTTCTTGAGTTGATGGGGGCTTGCTGCACACACCTGCGACACGATGGACACTTCACACTCGACAAAATAGAAAAAACACATGCGACACCCAAACGACGACTTGACATGCGAGTTGTAAAAACTCGCTAATGTCTTGACCGACACAAACCACATTGTGATACACCATTGAAACACACACACAAGCACTGGATAGCAATGACATAGACTCACAATTCATTCCATGCCATGCATGCACACACACAAACAAGGACGACAAGCCGAGTGCAAGCCATAGGGTTGCACCAACAGTCGCATTCCAGGTGAATCCCTTCTTCTATTAGTTGGCTGACGCTTAGCAGATTGTATCCCAAGTTGTCGAAGATTAGAACCTTGTTGAGTTGCAGGATGACATTTGTCTCCATGGACTGCAACGGAACCACTCCGTGTCTGTTTGTTTTCAGGTTCTTGTTGTTGGCGCCGGTGATGATGACATCGCGGTTGAGGCGTCGCTCTCGTTGCACGAATCGTCCAGAAGAGCACATGTGTTGGCCGCAACAGCTGTCCAAGAACCAGGTGTTTCGCCCGGTGGGTTCGGCGTTGGCGACTGCAGCGTACGTCGGGTTGACCTGAAGGCCTTGTGAGCGCGGCAGCGGTAGTTCTTCTTCGTCTGGAGCGTAAGTGGGTGGTGATCCGGGTGCGCAGTTGTCGATGCGTACCATACAATTGATGATGTTCGGTGTGCCATGTGTAGATGTGGAGGAACGCCTTGGCGGACTTTCTTGGGTGGAAGCGACTTGTGGGTCTACTGGACGATAAACTCGGGGGCGTGTGCAGTTGACTTTGGAGTGTTCGGATGTCTGACAGTAGTGGCAAAACGGCGGTACGATGGTGAGTCCTGTGGTGTCGTGTCGATGCTGCCTGTCACGTCGATTGTAGTTGTCATTTCTTCGTTCAGTATAGAATACTAACGGTTGCTGCTTCTTTCTTGGTTGTCTTTCTTCAAACAGGTCCATCTCTTAATGTTCAGCATGAAGCTCGGCGCAGAGGTGCATCTCCGAGATTCGTCCGTGGGCGCGAAGAAGCGAGCGGGTAGTTCTCCATTCTGGCCCGAGCCCGGCGAGGACAAGTGTCATGAAGCTTTCTTCAGTAATTGTACCTCCGCACCGAAGCAGGCGGTCACGGAGTGTCTGGCAGCGACTCATATACTGCATCGCCTTTTCTCCGTTTTTCATTTGTATTGTTGTCAACTGCTGCATGAGTCTGCTCTGTGTCACGCTGTCATTTGCTTGGTAGAGACATTTGAGGTGATGACATGCGAGCTCCGGGGAGTTTCCGTAGCTCCGATACGTTGTGATGCTTTGTTGTTCTTGTGGTGACAGGTTCCGCAGGAGAACTGTGTACGCCAGCAGCGACTGATAAGTGAAGATTTCCTGCTCCTTTGCAGTGCCATTGCTTGGAAATGGCAGGGACCCGTTGAAGTATCCCAAGAGATGCACGGCCTCCATTAGCAGCTCGAACTCGAAGCTCCAGGTAAAAAAGTCGTGTCCGTTGAACAGTGAGGATGTCTGCAGTTTGATCATGTGTGAAAACTGCGCCTGGAGGCTTAATATCTCGTTTGGTGTCTGTTGTGATGCAGCTGCTGTTGGTTGGGCACGGGGCGGCATGAACTCGAACGTCCCCGGTGAAGAGTGATAAGGCGCAAAGGTAGGCGCTTGATTGTGTCGTCCGAACGATGAGTTGTCGAGACTCATTGGCGCTAATCCCATGTTTCCTCTGTTTCTCTGTATTGAATGCGCAGGTGTCCTTGTCTGCTGCTGCTGGTCGAAGTGTGACATGAAGCTGAAGAACCTTTCCATGAGGTTAGGGTCCACGCTTGAAGAGGGTGATGGAGTCACCATTTCTGGTGCCCTTCTTGTTGTTTCTTGAGCAGCGCCGGTCTCGGTTTGCAGTCCTGAAGTGTGTAGTCCAGAGTTGCCGGGTTGGGTGTCTTGGGCGCTGGGTGAGCCCGTAGAGATCTTCTTGCCCTTGTTGTCCATGACTTAAAATCGATGAAGCTTGTTGAAGTGTTAACTGTAGATAGAACGTTGTTGCTGGGTGTTTGGTCTCTGACCAGCTCTCATACCATGTTGGGCTGAGAAAAAGCCCTTAGGATCTTTCCAGAGACGAAGTCCCAGTTGTACAAGATACTTGAGTAGTGCAGCGGAAGTTGAGTAGTTGAACCCTTGCACTAGTATGTGAGAGCAAGTGATTGATTAAAAGAACCAAGCATACAGCAATATATAGAACTACTCTTATTATATTCTCGTGACTAGCCTTGTGGCTTTTGCTCCAGTGGCCAGACTAGTAGTGCCGCCCTGGTTTGCTCGTCTTGTTTGTATTCTTCTGTCTGGTGACCCTTGCCTCAGAGGTTGGACTAGTAGTGCCACCCTGAGCTGTGTGTCTTTTGCCAGGCACCGCCCCTTGTCTAGCCTAGGGAGTGTGTCAACATATAGTAGTATATGTTATAGGCTAGATAGGTGCATGCTCATAGAGGGTACAACACCATAGCACAAAGCCTCCCTGTATGGCACAATCTACTTCAGTGCGTTATTCTAACAATACAGCCCCCCACCAGCGCTTGCTTGCTAGGTGTGGCGTGGAGCATCGTCTCAACTGGCCCGACGAAACGATGGCCGTGTAACACAGCCGCCGCACTCCCGCGCGACCGCAATCAGTGGTTGCCTCGTTCTGCACGAACTTGCCAAGAGCGGGCGACAATCACATGAGCAGGTCGTAGTGGTTGACTCCGTTGTACAGCAGCCGCACTGGCTTGCGCGCCTTGTTGCCGTGCGCCGCGGCCCCCCGCCCGTACTCGCTCCCATACTCCGCTATCGGCAGAAAGCCCCCGCCCCACCGAGCCCCCTGCCGCGCCTGCCAGCGTGTGATGGGGTGGTGGTGGCGGTTGTAAGATGTCGAAGGCGCAGGCATGGAGGGGGAACAGTGCAGACAGAATGCGAGTGAGCAGTGTCACGGGTGCAAGTGGTGTGGGCGGTGGAATGAGGGGTGCGATGGGAGGCAGAGAGGCGCTTGACGGGCCTCACACACGCACCAGGGCAGGGGCGGCTGAACCAAGGAGGACGGCGATGCAGAAAAGAGACAAGAAAAGAAAATAGAGCATGCGTACCTTGGCCTCTGGAATGTACACTATAATGGGCTGCGAGCACATGCGCGACAGTACCTGCAATGGGGAACGGTGAAGCAGGGAGGTGAAGAGAGGGGGTTGCCAGCGCAGATTACACCAAAGTGGGGAACTTGAAGAAGGTGAGGAGTACAAAAAGGAGTACGGGATTGGCAACAAATAACAACCAAATGTGGGCTACATTGAAAAAAACGTGACAAAGGAATGCATGATCATGCACGTGCATGCAATCATGAGTGGCATGGCATGCATATGTGATTGCATGTGTGGGCCCCTAATGAAGCACATCTCACTAAGAGCACATCTCACTAAGGGCGCATCTCTCGTCTCACCAGCAGCTCTGATTCTCCTCCCCAAAAGTCAGACCGGGTGATGCGCTGGCAGTAGCTGATAGGTTGGAGGGGGGAAAGGGGGATGGGGGACAGGTTGGGGAAAAAGGAAGGGGGGGAAGAGCTCCACCGGATGACTCATGTCATCCCACCGCCCCGATACCGCAAGAGACTGTCGCCGTTGACCCACCCTTCCGATCAGATCTCTCCTCAATTGGTTGCAACACGCACCCCCCGCATCGCAACCATGCAATGCCAGTGACCACTCAAGCGATTGCAATGCCAGTGACCACTCAAGCGATTGCAATGCACGTCACTACCCTCTCCCCTATGACAGCCTCCCCCCCCGTTACCGCGGAGGCTCTCCTCCACCGTGCCAGCAGCGAGCGCCTCTCAAATGGCGCTGCCGCCCATCCATCATGCATCCCCCATGCCCTGAACCACCTGGCCCCGTCTCACCCGCTCACCTGTCAGCACCACCCTTCCATCCCTCCCCCCCGTTACCGCTTCAACGACTCCTCCACCGTGATGGCGATGAGCGCCTCCTCATACGCCGCGCGCCGCTTCTCACTGCCGCACAGCGCGTCCGCCACCGCCATGCGCAGCTCGTCTGGGAGGGAGGGGAGCACGGGGTGAGAGAGGGGCAGCACGCATGGCCATCGCCTCATGGCACGCATGGCCATCGCCTCATGGCACGCATGGCCATCGCCTCATGGCACGCATGGCCATCGCCTCATGGCACGCATGGCCATCGCCTCATGGCACGCATGGCCATCGCCTCATGGCACGCATGGCCATCGCCTCATGGCACGCATGGCCATCGCCTCATGGCACGCATGGCCATCGCCTCATGGCACGCATGGCCATCGCCTCATGGCACGCATGGCCATCGCCTCATGGCACGCATGGCCATCGCCTCATGGCATGCTCCATCAGGTGCCCGCACGACTGCCGGCCCCCTCTTCTCACTGCCGCACAGCACATGCGGCGCTGGCAGGCACAGAATAGTGCGGGGTGGCGCTGAGAGGGAGGACAGAAGAGAATGAGGGTGGATAACCGACGTTGGAGGCATGAGGCATGTGAGATGAGGCTCGAGGCACATGACATTTGATTCCAAACACGTTGATTACCATTTCATGCTCACACCGCCTTGTGGCCCACCCCTCACTGCTCCACACACAACTCTCACCCTTCCCCGGTACCCGCCCTCCACCCGCACGCACCTGCCTCGCGGGTCTCATCGGAGGGCGACAGCGCCATGCTCTTGTTGGCCGCCATGCCCGACACCTGCGGATGGGGGGCATGGTAGAATGATGCATGGGGCCATGGGGCAAGGGGCCATGAGGTATAGAGCCATGGGGCATGGGGGCATGGGGCACGGGGGAATGGGGGCATGGGGGTGTGGACGAGAAGCATGGTGGCATAGCGGCATGGCGGCATGGCGGCATGGTGGCACGGTGGCATGGTGGCATGGTGGCATGGGCGCATTGATGAAGAATGCGAGGGGAGTGGAAGCCAGGGGATGCAGGGAGAGGACCAGGCAGTGGCTCTGCTGGATACCGCCTTCAAGATGCACAAATGGATACCGCCTTCAAGATGCACACATGGATACCGCCTTCAAGATGCACAAATGGAATACAGCAGCTGCACCTCAAGCCATCAAGTGTGCCTCACCAGCGTGCACCTCAAGCCATCAAGTGTGCCTCACCAGCGTGCACCTCAAGCCATCAAGTGTGCCTCACCAGCCTGCACCTCAAGCCATCAAGTGTGCCTCACCAGCGTGCACCTCAAGCCATCAAGTGTGCCTCACCAGCCTGCACCTCAAGCCATCAAGTGTGCCTCAAGCGTGCACCTCAAGCCATCAAGTGTGCCTCACCAGCGTGCACCTCAAGCCATCAAGTGTGCCTCACCAGCGTGCACCTCAAGCCATCAAGTGTGCCTCACCAGCCTGCACCTCAAGCCATCAAGTGTGCCTCACCAGCGTGCACCTCAAGCCATCAAGTGTGCCTCACCAGCCTGCACCTCAAGCCATCAAGTGTGCCTCAAGCGTGCACCTCAAGCCATCAAGTGTGCCTCACCAGCGTGCACCTCAAGCCATCAAGTGTGCCTCAAGCGTGCACCTCAAGCCATCAAGTGTGCCTCACCAGCCTGCACCTCAAGCCATCAAGTGTGCCTCACCAGCGTGCACCTCAAGCCATCAAGTGGGCCTCACCAACCTGCACCTCAAGCCATCAAGTGTGCCTCACCAGCCTGCACCTCAAGCCATCAAGTGTGCCTCACCAGCGTGCACCTCAAGCCATCAAGTGTGCCTCAACAGCGTGGACCTCAAGCCATCAAGTGGGCCTCACCAGCCTGCACCTCAAGCCATCAAGTGTGCCTCACCAGCGTGCACCTCAAGCCATCAAAAGTGCCTCACCAGCCTGCACCTCAAGCCATCAAGTGTGCCTCACCAGCGTGCACCTCAAGCCATCAAGTGTGCCTCACCAGCCTGCACCTCAAGCCATCAAGTGTGCCTCACCAGCGTGCACGTCAAGCCATCAAGTGTGCCTCACCAGCCTGCACCTCAAGCCATCAAGTGTGCCTCACCAGCGTGCACCTCAAGCCATCAAGTGTGCCTCACCAGCCTGCACCTCAAGCCATCAAGTGTGCCTCACCAGCCTGCACCTCAAGCCATCAAGTGTGCCTCACCAGCGTGCACCTCAAGCCATCAAGTGTGCCTCACCAGCGTGGACCTCAAGCCATCAAGTGTGCCTCACCAGCCTGCACCTCAAGCCATCAAGTGTGCCTCACCAGCGTGCACCTCAAGCCATCAAGTGTGCCTCACCAGCCTGCACCTCAAGCCATCAAGTGTGCCTCACCAGCGTGCACCTCAAGCCATCAAGTGTGCCTCACCAGCGTGCACCTCAAGCCATCAAGTGTGCCTCACCAGCGTGCACCTCAAGCCATCAAGTGTGCCTCAAGCGTGCACCTCAAGCCATCAAGTGTGCCTCACCAGCCTGCACCTCAAGCCATCAAGTGTGCCTCACCAGCGTGCACCTCAAGCCATCAAGTGTGCCTCACCAGCGTGCACCTCAAGCCATCAAGTGTGCCTCACCAGCGTGCACCTCAAGCCATCAAGTGGGCCTCACCAGCCTGCACCTCAAGCCATCAAGTGTGCCTCACCAGCCTGCACCTCAAGCCATCAAGTGTGCCTCACCAGCGTGCACCTCAAGCCATCAAGTGTGCCTCACCAGCGTGGACCTCAAGCCATCAAGTGGGCCTCACCAGCCTGCACCTCAAGCCATCAAGTGTGCCTCACCAGCGTGCACCTCAAGCCATCAAGTGTGCCTCACCAGCGTGCACCTCAAGCCATCAAGTGTGCCTCACCAGCGTGCACCTCAAGCCATCAAGTGTGCCTCACCAGCCTGCACCTCAAGCCATCAAGTGTGCCTCACCAGCGTGCACCTCAAGCCATCAAGTGTGCCTCACCAGCCTGCACCTCAAGCCATCAAGTGTGCCTCACCAGCGTGCACCTCAAGCCATCAAGTGTGCCTCACCAGCGTGGACCTCAAGCCATCAAGTGTGCCTCACCAGCCTGCACCTCAAGCCATCAAGTGTGCCTCACCAGCGTGCACCTCAAGCCATCAAGTGTGCCTCACCAGCGTGGACCTCAAGCCATCAAGTGTGCCTCACCAGCCTGCACCTCAAGCCATCAAGTGTGCCTCACCAGCGTGCACCTCAAGCCATCAAGTGTGCCTCACCAGCCTGCACCTCAAGCCATCAAGTGTGCCTCACCAGCGTGCACCTCAAGCCATCAAGTGTGCCTCACCAGCCTGCACCTCAAGCCATCAAGTGTGCCTCACCAGCGTGCACCTCAAGCCATCAAGTGTGCCTCACCAGCCTGCACCTCAAGCCATCAAGTGTGCCTCACCAGCGTGCACCTCAAGCCATCAAGTGTGCCTCACCAGCGTGGACCTCAAGCCATCAAGTGGGCCTCACCAGCGTGCACCTCAAGCCATCAAGTGTGCCTCACCAGCGTGCACCTCAAGCCATCAAGTGTGCCTCACCAGCCTGCAACTCAAGCCATCAAGTGTGCCTCACCAGCGCGCGGAACATGCAGCGCCCATCCGCCTGCACTTTGCGCACCGAGTAGTACTCCACTTTCTTTAGGGCCGCTGTGCTGGGCCTGGCGGTGGGAGCGGGAAGTGAGGGAGAGAATGTTGATGAATGGGAGACGTGCGAGGGGAGAGAGCAGTGCCCGCCTCTCTATGCTGCTGTGCTGGCGCTCCCGGTGATGGTAGGGGAGGGCAGGGCAAGCATATGGTGGCTGGTGGGGGAGCGAAAAGCACTCCGCTCCTTCGTCGCTGCCGTGGCCCTGGTGGGTTGGGGAGAGACGGTAGCGACGAACGGGTAAGGCTGTGGTGGCAGCTTAGTGCTTGCACCATCTCGTCACTGATGTTGTGGCGCCGCCCCTGGTGGTGGGGAGGATACACATACATGGAAGAGGCGGGGGAGGGGAGAACGATGGGAAAATGAGGAGAGAGGGAGGGGAGGAATCGGGGCTCCTTCATAGCCACTGTCGGTTGGGGGGTCAGGGTGGGATGGGGAGATGGGAGAGGGGTAAGGGGCAGGCGAGCAAGGGGAGTGAGGCGAGCAAGGGGAGTGAGGCGAGCAAGGGGAGTGAGGCGAGCAAGGGGAGTGAGGCGAGCAAGGGGAGTGAGGCGAGCAAGGGGAGTGAGGCGAGCAAGGGGAGTGAGGCGAGCAAGGGGAGTGAGGCGAGCAAGGGGAGTGAGGCGAGCAAGGGGAGTGAGGCGAGCAAGGGGAGTGAGGCGAGCAAGGGGAGTGAGGCGAGCAAGGGGAGTGAGGCGAGCAAGGGGAGTGAGGCGAGCAAGGGGAGTGAGGCGAGCAAGGGGAGTGAGGCGAGCAAGGGGAGTGAGGCGAGCAAGGGGAGTGAGGCGAGCAAGGGGAGTGAGGCGAGCAAGGGGAGTGAGGCGAGCAAGGGGAGTGAGGCGAGCAAGGGGAGTGAGGCGAGCAAGGGGAGTAAGGCGAGCAAGGGGAGTGAGGCGAGCAAGGGGAGTGAGGCGAGCAAGGGGAGTGAGGCGAGCAAGGGGAGTGAGGCGAGCAAGGGGAGTGAGGCGAGCAAGGGGAGTGAGGCGAGCAAGGGGAGTGAGGCGAGCAAGGGGAGTGAGGCGAGCAAGGGGAGTGAGGCGAGCAAGGGGAGTGAGGCGAGCAAGGGGAGTGAGGCGAGCAAGGGGAGTGAGGCGAGCAAGGGGAGTGAGGCGAGCAAGGGGAGTGAGGCGAGCAAGGGGAGTGAGGCGAGCAAGGGGAGTGAGGGGCAGAGAGGGAAGGTTCACGAGGGGGAGAAGCAGGAGCAGGGAGGTGGAGGGGAGGGGAGAGGTAGGAGAGTTGGTATTTGTGCAGCAGCACCAATTACCAGAGGTGAGGATCTTCATACCAGAGGACAGACGCCCGCCCTGGCCCACCCCGCCCTTCAATTGCAATCATCCTTGCATGGGCGCCCGGGGTTCAGTGTTGCACGTTCGGCGTTCAGAGTGGCACGTTCGGCGTTCAGTGTTGCACGTTCGGCGTTCAGAGTTGCACGTTCGGCGTTCAGTGTTGCACGTTCGGCGTTCAGTGTTGCACGCCCGAGGTTCAGTGTTTCACGTTTGGCGTTCAGAGTTGCACGTTCGGCGTTCAGTGTTGCACGTTCGGCGTTCAGTGTTGCACGTTCGGCGTTCAGAGTTGCACGTTCGGCGTTCAGTGTTGCACGTTCGGCGTTCAGTGTTGCACGCCCGAGGTTCAGTGTTGCACGTTTGGCGTTCAGAGTTGCACGTTCGGCGTTCAGTGTTGCACGTTCGGCGTTCAGTGTTGCACGTTCGGCGTTCAGTGTTGCACGTTCGGCGTTCAGTGTTGCACGTTCGGCGTTCAGTGTTGCACGTTCGGCGTTCAGTGTTGCACGTTCGGCGTTCAGTGTTGCACGTTCGGCGTTCAGTGTTGCACGTTCGGCGTTCAGCGTTGCACGTCCGGCGTTCAGCGTTGCACGTTCGGCGTTCAGTGTTGCACGTTCGGCGTTCAGTGTTGCACGTTCGGCGTTCAGTGTTGCACGTTCGGCGTTCAGTGTTGCACGTTCGGCGTTCAGCATTGCACGTTCGGCGTTCAGCGTTCAACGTTCGGCGTTCAGGGTTGCACGTTCGCAGCCGTGCGGAAGGACCCACCTGGGCGCGGACGGGCGCGGCGGTTGGATGCGCGCGAAGAGCAGCCCGTGGCCGCCCTCACAGGCGCTGAGAGCGTCGGCTGACTCGTGGCCCCCTGCGCCTGCACTGCCTCGCACGAGGGCGGCTGAGATGGACGCCAAGGGGCTGGCCGCCACAGCAGACGCCGGGTCGATGGCGGTGGGGAGCAGCTCGAAGGAGAAAGTGTGAGGCGCTGATAGGGCTGAGGTGTATGGTGGTTGGTTGGGGGGGGAGGGACGCACATGAGAGACGAGACACGATGAGAGGCGAGTGGAAGAGCGAGGAGTGAGGGATGGGAAGACGGTAGCGCGACAGGAGTGGCTTTATAGGTGGGCGCGGTGGCTTGACAGCAGTGAATGCAGGGGGAGCACCTGAGGGGGAGCACCTGAGGAGGGGCGGCAGGGCAGGGCGTCCGCAGCTGCCGGCACCTTCACTCCCACTGACGCCCGCAAGCGACACGAGGAGGGCGCGGGGGCCATGCGGGCTTGGGGGGGGGGAGAGGGAGATCTGGGGGGAGGAGGGGCGCGTGGCACGTATCGGGGAAGGGGGAGGGTGGGAAGGGGCGGATCGATTGGCATGGAGATGGGGGAGCAGAGGGTAGAGGGAGGAGACAACGCTTTAGAGGGGCGGGATGGGACGCGGCGGGGAGAGTGGGTGGAAGGGCGGAGACGGGGAGGGGATATGGACGACGAATGGTGGCGGGCGCAGAAACTGCTCGACCGGAGGAGCGAGTCAGCGGCGATAGGGGGAGAAGACGGCGGAAGGCGACGCACGGCGCAAAGGGGACAGCCCCGGCGAGACCCGGAGAGGCGAGGAGAAGGAAATTCGCAGGGAGACACTGCGACGCTGCGACGCTGGATCGTGGTGGACGCCCAAGCGTGCGACGCCGGCCGAGCGTGCGGCGTCGCTAATGTGCGAGGAATGACGTACATATAGGATCGCAAGCGCCTCCGGCTGACGTTGGAGAAACTTAGCTGATGTAGAAAGTTTCAGCAGTTTCCAGGGGAGAATTTGCACTGAAAATGAGTTGTGTTTGAACAAGAAACAAACAAGCATTTATAAGCAGGTAGAAAGCTTGCGCGGTTCGCGTAACGCGGCTGGTGCACTGTCTAACCTCGGAATTCTGCCAACCGCGGAAACGGATTTCGGTAACCGACACCAGTTCCGAAACCGATACCAGATTTCGTTCTCCGGAATTTAATTGAGCACGCTCCGGGTCTGTGTTGGAGAATTTTCCTGCAGCTTTTTTCTCCCGCTGGTCTTGGCTGCAGTTTCCTGCAAGGCAACAGAAATAGCATTTCCGATCTACCGTTTCCCCGCACGTACGCGTCACCTAGAGCAACCTCAAGCACTCCATTCTCTTATGTTTTCTTCTACCGATTTCCTCCATTTCTTGCTGATTTTCCTAGCTCCACCACTGTTCCGCCACTTCCGCCGCTGCAGTTAGGATTCCCGTTTTTCTTCCCGTCGTCATTCTTTCCCTTGTCATCCGTCGTGCCATTTCAACACCACTTTCCTTGGAACTAGATGGGTGGTCCTCACACCGTCCTTAGCATCGCCACACCTTCGTTAGGCATAAGGTTAGGTCGGTAGGGCAGCGGCGAACCACCCTAACAGTACAAGGGGTGCACGGGTGGGGCGCGGCGATCACATTACACGGCGAAGCGAGGCGTGGGAGAGGTATGCCATGTCGCTGACGGAGCTGTGTAATGTGATCCTCCTTCCCTGCCGGCCACGCACAACCCCAACCAACGGTGCGCCGTTGTGCTTCCCGGAATGTCTCTCCGTCGCCCCGCATATACGCCTTCGCCCCGCGCCTCTCCGCTGCTCCCTCTCCATGCATGCGTGCGTGCGTGCATCCGGAGCATGTGGATGAGCGCCTCCGTGCATGGCATACCCATGGCATTCCTCTCGCTTCCCAACCAATCATTCCCTCGTCTTCCCCTGGGTCGCCTCCCTCTGCCACTTGCATTTGACTGCAGCAGTGAGCGCGCATTTGGCATCAGCAGAGCCATAGGCATGGCCGTGCCGCCGTGCGTCGTGGCGTTGGGTCGAGTGCGCCATGTGTGCCTCACCACGCACCGCCACGTGCGCATTCACAGGTGAGAGCATGCGGAGAGGCGGCGGTCGGTCGGCGCGTCGCAACACGAAAGCATCCGTGACTGCTCCAGCCGTTCACGTGCCTGCACACCTTGCACGTCACGTTTGCGCTCTCCACCCTTATTTCATGCTTGCGCTCTCCACCCCCCCAACCCCACCATCCCCCCCATCCCCCCCATCCCCCCCAACCCCACCATCCCCCCCATCCCCCCCATCCCCCCCACCCCACCATCCCCCCCATCCCCCCAACCCCACCATCCCCCCATCCCCCCCTTCCCCCCCATCCGTCCCGGCCCACCTTGTGCGTCAGTGCTTCCGCCTGCCTCATCCTCCCCACCCCCCCATACTTCCCCACCCTTATTTCGCTTTTTCTTCCCAGCCTGATTCTCCCTGCTGCCTCACGGCCAAGCGCCTCTGCGCCATGCACTGCTGCGAGTGGACGAGGCGGGAGGGGCGCACACGGCGAGGGGGGGGACGGAGAGGAGGAGCGGTGCAGCAGCAGGGCAGAGGCGGCAGACTCGCGTGCAGCGCTGGTGGGGGCAACAGCAGTGGGAGTGGGGGCAGGGGCGGACGGGCACAGTGCAGCAGCAGTAAGTGCGGGTGCAGCTATGGCGCTTCTCATGGATGGCCCGCCACGCAGCATGCAAGGAAGCAAGCACGCAGCGCAAGGACGGCCGTGCGGGTGGCGGGAGCAAGCTCGAGGGACGGCGCAGCAGCGCAGGAGCAAGGGGGGAGCGAGGCGGCTCTGGGGGAAGCATCCAGGGCTGCAGAGCCAAGTGGCGCGGGTGGTGCTGCCAGCACCGGTCAAGAGGCCGGTGTGCAAAGAGAGGCGAGAGGAGAAGCGGGTGCAGCAGTGGGTGCAGGGGCGGGGTCAGGGGCGAGTGCGGAGAGCACGGTGAAGGACGGCAAGTGGGTGGGCGCCAGCCACAGAGTGCTCTTCTGCTCGCAGTGTGGCTCCCCGACCAACCAGATCGTGCCAGCTGGTCAGTGCAGTGCAGTGCAGCATTGAGTGACCGTGCCATGACCATCATGTCACAGTCACTTGTGCCATGATCCCATCTCAGCAGCCAGAATCATTCTTATCCCTCCTCCTCCCCTTCCCCATGACACCCCCCTTTCGCCAGGTGATGACAAGCCTCGGGACGTGTGCAGCAACCCTGTCTGTGCGCGCATCCACTACGCCAACCCCAAAGTGGTCGTGGGCGCGCTGTGCCTCTGGCACAACAAGGTGGGGGGCAGGGAGGGTGGGGTGGGGTGGGGTGGGGTGGGGTGGGGTGGGGGGACGATGGGGGGGCAGGGGTTGGTGGGACACGGGGGTGTCCGTTACTCCTTGCTGCTGCACTTTCATCTCCTCCCTCGAGTGCTGCTGCACTTTCATCTCCTCCCTCGAGTGCTGCTGCACTTTCATCTCCTCCCTCGAGTGCTGCTGCACTTTCATCTCCTCCCTCGAGTGCTGCTGCACTTTCATCTCCTCCCTCGAGTGCTGCTGCACTTTCATCTCCTCCCTCGAGTGCTGCTGCACTTTCATCTCCTCCCTCGAGTGCTGCTGCACTTTCATCTCCTCCCTCGAGTGCTGCTGCACTTTCATCTCCTCCCTCGAGTGCTGCTGCACTTTCATCTCCTCCCTCGAGTGCTGCTGCACTTTCATCTCCTCCCTCGAGTGCTGCTGCACTTTCATCTCCTCCCTCGAGTGCTGCTGCACTTTCATCTCCTCCCTCGAGTGCTGCTGCACTTTCATCTCCTCCCTCGAGTGCTGCTGCACTTTCATCTCCTCCCTCGAGTGCTGCTGCACTTTCATCTCCTCCCTCGAGTGCTGCTGCACTTTCATCTCCTCCCTCGAGTGCTGCTGCACTTTCATCTCCTCCCTCTAGAGTCTCACCCTCCCTCCCCCCCTCCCCCAGGTGCTGCTGTGTCGGAGGGGCATCCCGCCCTGCGAGGGCATGTGGGGCTTCCCTCAAGGTGCGTCGCTCACTATGCCACACCCGTGCCGCCCTGTCATCTATTCCAAGGGCTTGGGATGTTGTTGGGCATTGTGTAGGTATGCCATTGATCACAGCGCTGCTCACTGCACACTCTGCAAGTGTGGGGCTTTGGGCGCCATGGAGCAGCAGCCCCCACTGCAGTCCTCAGCAGAGTCGATCATTCTCTCCGCGTGGCTCTGCAAACCCTCCCATCGCATGCCACACCATGACATGCCACACCATGCCATGCCACACCATGCCATGCCACACCATGCCATGCCACACCATGCCATACCTTGCCACACCACGCCATGCCATGATATGCCATGCCACGCCATGCGCACAGGTTTCCTGGAGTTGGGCGAGTCGTCGAGGGAGGGGGCAGAGAGGGAGGTGCGGGAGGAGGCATGCGCCGAGGTCAGAGTGCGCAGCCTGCTGGCCGTCTACAACATTCCCAACCAGGTCGGCGCCATGCCTGCCACGCATGTGTGCTATGCCTGTGTGCATGCCTGTATGCATGCCTGTATGCATGCCTATATGCATGCCTGTATGTCGTGCCTGTATGCATGCCTGTTTGCATGCCTGTATACATGCCTGTATGCATGCCTATGTGCATGCCTGTATCCCGTGCCTGTATGCATGCCTGTATGCCGTGCCTATATGCATGCCTGTTAGCATGCCTGTATGCATGCCTGTATGTATGCATGCCTGTATGCATGCCTGTATGTATGCATGCCTGTATGTATGCATGCCTGTATGCATGCCTGTATGCATGCCTGTATGCATGCCTATATGCATGCCTGTATGTCGTGCCTGTATGCATGCCTGTTTGCATGCCTGTATACATGCCTGTATGCATGCCTATGTGCATGCCTGTATCCCGTGCCTGTATGCATGCCTGTATGCCGTGCCTATATGCATGCCTGTTAGCATGCCTGTATGCATGCCTGTATGTATGCATGCCTGTATGTATGCATGCCTGTATGCATGCCTGTATGCCGTGCCTGTATGCATGCTTGTATGCCGTGCCTGTATGCATGCTTGTATGCCGTGCCTGTATGCATGCCTGTTTGCATGCCTGTATGCATGCCTGTATGCCGTGCCTGTATGCATGCCTGTATGTATAATATATGCATGCCTGTATGCATGCCTGTATGCATGCCTGTATGCATGCCTGTATGCTGTGCCTGTATGCATGCCTGTATGCATGCCTGTATGTATGCATGCCTGTATGTATGCATGCCTGTATGCATGCCTGTATGCATGCCTGTATGCATGCCTGTATGCCGTGCCTGTATGCATGCTTGTATGCCGTGCCTGTATGCATGCCTGTTTGCATGCCTGTTTGCATGCCTGTATGCATGCCTGTATGCATGCCTGTATGCATCCCTGTATGCATGCCTGTATGCATGCCTGTATGCATGCCTGTATGCATGCCTGTATGCATGCCTGTATGCCGTGCCTGTATGCATGCCTGTATGCATGCCTGTATGCATGCCTGTATGCATGCCTGTATGCATGCCTGTATGCATGCCTGTATGCATGCCTGTATGCTGTGCCTGTATGCATGCCTGTATGCATGCCTGTATGTATGCATGCCTGTATGTATGCATGCCTGTATGCATGCCTGTATGCATGCCTGTATGCATGCCTGTATGCCGTGCCTGTATGCATGCTTGTATGCCGTGCCTGTATGCATGCTTGTATGCCGTGCCTGTATGCATGCCTGTATGTATGCATGCCTGTATGCATGCCTGTATGCATGCCTGTATGCATGCCTGTATGCATGCCTGTATGCATGCCTGTATGCATGCCTGTATGCATGCCTGTATGCATGCCTGTATGCCGTGCCTGTATGCATGCCTGTATGCATGCCTGTATGCATGCCTGTATGCATGCCTGTATGCATGCCTGTATGCATGCCTGTATGCATGCCTGTATGCATGCCTGTATGCATGCCTGTATGCATGCCTGTATGCATGCCTGTATGCATGCCTGTATGCATGCCTGTATGCATGCCTGTATGCCATGCATGCACGCCATCCCTATGTGCCATGGGGTTGGATGCTGAAAGCGGCCGTCAATCCGAGTACTCTGTCATTTGTACATCTGGATCTCCTCTCACTTCCTCGTGCTCACACACGACCTGCCCTGCGTACATCCACTGCACCCTATGCTGCCATCTCATGTCCGGCAACCCCCCGACCTGTGACCACTTTCATGTCAGGCCCATAATCTTGCCTTACCTTGCCCGATGCCCACCCTCCCTGCCTTGCCCCGTGCCCCACCCTCCCTGCCTTGCCCCGTGCCCACCTCCATAACTCCCATGACCCTATGCGTGCCCACCCTGCGCCGCCCTGCTCGCGCCCATCCCATCCAGGTGCAGACCATCCACCTCTCTGACCTCGTCTCGCCGCACTTGGCAGTGAAGAGCAGCGCCGTTCATTTCATGCCATCACTCTGCCTTGCCTTGCCCCATACCCCATGTCCCATGCCCCATGCTCAACCGTCCAGGTGCAGATCATCTACCTCGCTGACCTCCTCTCGCCTCACTTCGCTGCCGGTGCGCTCCCTGCCATCATGCGCTCTCCCTGCCATCATGCGCTCGCTCCCTGACATCATGCGCTCGCTCCCTGCCATCATGCGCTCGCTCCCTGCCATCATGCGCTCACTCCCTGCCATCATGCGCTCGCCTAAGCTGGTTCCTTACGTTACGTTTACGTTTACGTACGTTAACAAAATTCTGGTTTTAGGCCTGTTTGTACGGGCAGGCTAAAACAATTCTACCTGCCCGGAAAAAAGAAGAGGGAACCCTAGGCAGATTTTTGTACAGACTTCCATTGGCCATTAAATCTTTTCGTAGGAAGATAGAAAACATCCACAAAATACCAAGTTTCCACGCTTATAACATGCAAAATTGCAGATGCTACCTTCACTCATCCATGCTAGGCTCGTCCTCAACGGGAGTGTCCACATACGCATCATCAGGGATGTCGTTATCATCATCGAGGGGCTCATAGCCATCCTTCGGCTCCTCCCGAATCACTGGAAGTGCCGAAACCATCATTTTCTTGGAGAAGTCGCCATTAAGCTTCTTACTGTGTGGTAGTTGTGGCTTATGTAAACCAAATTCGCAAGACGCTTGGGGCCGAGTCGGTTGCGGCGTGCGGTGTGGATAGACTCCCACACACCCCAGTTCGTCTCGCATGTAGATGCCGACACGCACTGCTTAAGTACCCTGCACGCCAGCTTCGCCAGGTTGGGGCAATCGGAGCCATTCATAATCCACCACTGCACAGGGTCCAAGTGACCCTCCTTGATAAGGATGTGTTCGTCCTTAGCCTTCTGCTCTCCGATTTCCCCCTTCCCTTTGATGTACGTCAACACCTCGCCCTCGACGATCGTGGCCATTGGTTTAATGACATTCCCGACCTTCATAGTCTCTCCTTTGTAGTAATCGCGCACAAACCGCTTAAAGATTGCGGTGCACTCCTTGTCGTCCGGTCCAAAAAAAATCTCGTATTGGTTGGGTGGATAGAGAATGCGCCCCACCACGTGAAGCGGGCAATTGATGTCATTATTCCACCTATTCCGCACGATCTCCGCAACCTCCTCCTTCTCGGAGCTCTCCAAATCCGCGCACGCCCTATCCTCCTGCTCTTCCAAATCGATCATCATTTCGTACATTTTGCCCATGACCTCTTGATTCCCGTCGACTTTCCTCAACGTCATGTAGACCGGCTTGAGAACGGCAACTACCAGCTCAACGCCCTTCCAGAATCCTTTCCGCTGCACTGTGTCGCGTGCGTCCTTCATTTTGGGCCTCCCCTTTGTGTAATCGTCGAACCCCTTGGTCTTCATCATCGCCTCCAGCGTGTCACGCACCACCAGACGCTCAAGGGTGATGTAGTTAGTCCCAAACCGCGTGCCTGCAGGCTTCAGCACCTTCAGCGAATCCTTCTCCCGAAAGTAGCCCGTGATCCACTGCTCGTTCTTTAGTGTCGAAATGAGTTGCTGCGCCTCGTCGATGGTCGGTTTGGCCCATTCGAGCCCGCCGATGTCCTTCATAAGGAGGCTAAGCGAGTGTGCGGCACAACGAATCCACTGCACCTTCGGATATTCCTCCTTGACCAAGCTGGCGGCGTTGATGTTCGCGCTCGCACCATCCATCAGCACTCCGACGACGTTCTCCGCGCCGACCTCCTCAATCGCAGTTTTCAAGTGCCCGGCGATGTAATCAGCTCATTTCTTCTCCGTGCTGCAATCAACGCCGAACAAGAAGATTTACGTGCTGGAGTTGACGGCCAAAATGTTGAGCTGAGGACGACCTTCCCCATCCGTCCATCCGTCGCACGTGATGCTCACTCCAATGTCGTCCCACGACTCTTTCACATCCTTGAGCGCATTCTCCGTCTTCGTCTTGCACTCCTCAATAAGGCGGCCCATGATGAGCCGACGCCCATGGGGGGTGAAACCGGTGCCTGTAGCCGCCACCTTCTTCAACATGGTTTTGAAGACCTCGTGTTCCGCCACGTGTGGGGGGATGCGACAAACGTGGAAGAACGTCGCAATCGCCAGTTGTGCGTTCGCAGCGTCCACCGCCTTGGGACGCCCATCCGTGAGTGTCATCTGCGTCGCTTGCCGCTTTCGCGTGCCACCACTTCTCTCCGGCATGTTGCTGCTCGTGTGGCTGGTTGGAGTATGCGTGAACGCATTCATTGTCCTTTGAGCCGCTTTCTTCTTCTCCTCGTCATCACTCTTCTTCTTTGCCAAGGCAGCCCTAACAGCCTCCTTCGCCTCGAAAGTTGCTGAAGGGCACGCTTTCGCGCAGCTACCCGGGGTTCCAAGAATATGGTTCTGCGCTCGGACCACGTTGAATTTCCAAGTGCCGTTGCAAAAAGTGCATTGCTTCTCCAAAGTACAGTCACATTTTCCCCCTTCAGGAACGCTGAAGAATTTCCAAACAAAATGGTCAACGGAGTTCGCCATGGCAGCAGAAGTACAACGCAGTTTTTACTTGGAAAATTGAGTAGGAGTAGTTGCTGTTTGGAGCTGTGTGGATTTGTGGAAATTAGGCGTAGTTAAGTACCTCTTTGAATTCGTCGTGCCACGAACCAGTTTTGCAGAAATCACGTCGTAGGAAATTGTTCGGAACGCGTAAACGTGTTTTTGATTGTTTGGGATTGGTTGGCTTGCTGGCTGCACTTTCGTTGCAAGCCACAATTGCCAACTTCTGCCGGTGCGCGGAAAGTCACATTTAGATGCGACGAAATTTACAATCTGTTGACTTGACTGGTTGGCGAAATTACCACGTGCGCGAAATCTCGTCTCCGCTGCTTGACGCGCCGGCAATCCAACTAGTCGACGAATTTATGCGCGTCAAATCTGACGTGCTGGTACTCCAACCAGTCAACGTCAACCCCAAGCGGTCCGTGTATTAATGGTCAAGCAGGGTACAGCAGAGCAGGTATAGCAGGACAAGGAGCATGCAAGGGGGGCGTTCATATTGAAATGTGACCCCTACTCCCCAAGATCCCCCCCCCCTACTCCCCCTCCAGCGTTTGGAGGTCCCCTAGGTGAAGCGGCCATGGATCTGCTGGGGCTTGAGGGTGTGCAGCCTTGATGCCCTCACGTGCCTTGACGTGGAGGGCATTTGCCTAGCAGCGTTGGAGCATCACGGACCAACGGTGCCGGAAATTCGAGGCGACCTTCTTGGCCGTTCTGGCCAAGGGGTCAACTCGGAAGCGGTTCCTTGCTGCCGCAGCCGCGATGACGCCAAGGAACTCCATCGTGGGCGGTGCATTTGCCCCGTAGGATTCTACCGCAAAGGCGTAGAACCCCACGTGTTCCGGCCTCCGCGGGTAGTCATACTCCTTCCGCCGTGCCGCCGCCCGTGCTGCCCACCCCCATGGTTTGCGGGCCAGGGGATCTTGGTTCAGGAGGACCGGATTAGTGATGGTGACATCCGTGATCCAGGTCTCCCCGGACTCAGGGTCCCGTACAATGACATCAGCTCGCTTGGGGTCATCCGGAGGTGAGTACATGGCGTTCTCCGAATACACCACTAGCTGAGCCCCTCCCTTGCCATCTTGACCAAGGCAAAGGCCAGCTGGTTGTGTGTGCGTGTCCTGTCCGGGCCACGACCACAACGAAGGAGGTGGTTGGGGAGGCTGCAGTCATTGACCAGGTCGCCACACGCACACACATGCGGCACGCTCATCCGCAGGCCCAGGCGGAAAGCCAGGGCGGTGGAGAACTGCCCGGGGGAGAACATGAGGTCCAGGGATAGGGGGAGGGCGTGGAGCCAATCACCCGCGCCCGCTCCCCGCAGGCTGATGAGTCGAAGGGGGTGGCCCATCTCGGGGGAGGAGCGTACGTGCCGAGAATCAGAGAGCAGGTCCTCCGCCCGGGCAGCGTTCACCTCCATGGAGAGGCGACGCTGCAGGTGGACCAGGGTCCGCTCTGAGCGCTCCTCGTTGAGGAGGAGCCGGCCGCTGTCCGGTAGCCGCGCCTCTAGGTCCCGGAGGGTATCGGTGATGGGGAAGTCGGAGGGCTGGAAGAGAGCGGCTACTCCTGCGAGTGGCGAGGCGGGTTGGAGGTCCAATGACCTGAGGAGGTGGTGTGCCTCCGTGGTTGACGCTAGGAAGGCCGGGACAGCCTCCCACGTGGGGTCAATCAGGCCCAGGCCTCCCAATGCGATTGGGAGGGTTGCTTGGTGCCAGAGGAGTTCCTGCTCCACGGCCCACCGGGGGTGATGTAACCGGCTAGCCGTGAGGGCTGTGAGTAAGAGGGACTCGCTCCAGTCCCACCATTCCCCGCCGTGTGAGATGACGTCGGCAGGGGTGGTGCGGAGGAGGAAGCCCACTCGGCGGTTGACGCAGCGGGAGATGAGGAGGAGCGCGTGTTGGGGGTGGATGGAGGTGAGTGGGCCGAGTGGGAGGGCGGAGTCGGTGAGGGTGCTGCGGATGTGGTTGGCGCAGAAGGTCTCGGACCCAATGAGGCTACCAAGAACGCGGATGCCCTCCGTGCTCAAGGGGAGTCCAGCGGGGAGGACTTCAGGATCGATGGGGCGTGGGGACCGTGCGGCTGATTTGGCGAAGTTGCACACCAGGCCACACTGCGCGAGCAGCGCGGCGAGGTGGGTGAAGGCAGCCACGGTCTCTAGTGGCGGCCCGACCAGCGTGATGTCGTCAGCATAGGCCAGCAGCGCCACCCCAGGGAAGGCCGCCACGGTGTTGGTGAGGTGGCTCTGGATGGAAGCCGTGAAGAGAAGCGGCCCGAGGGGATCACCCTGACGCACGCCGCGGCTGCTAGGGATAGGGTCCGCGCTGCACTCGTCAGCAAGCATCAGTACAGTAGAGGTGCCATAGAGGGAGCGAACTAGCGGCAGCGGAGCGAGGGGTGAATCACGTAAAGCTTTGAAGAAAGCCTTTCGCTCGACAGAGTTGAAGGCATTCCACACATCTAGCTGGAGGACAAGGTGGCCTGGTGTCTCAGCTGCCATTAGCCGGATTGCGTGGATGACGAGCTCTGCCCCTCCTGGCACAGAGACCCCAAACTGGG